GATTTCGAAGTCTCTGTAACTCGTGTTGGTGTGTTGATCAATATTGACAAGTTATAGGAACGGCAAAAGTTAACAAGGGCTTTAGCTCCAGGATCGTCGCTATTCTCAAGTCTGCAGTTCAAATCACCTAATAGATAAATTGGAACATTAAACGACGAGGCATAAATAAAGTTCTCTGTAAGATCTGAATCGAAACAAGATAAAGAAGTGTCCGGTGGTCTATAGGTTGTACAGACAAGGAAGGACTTCATGTTTCTGACGTGGATTTTTAGCCACAGTTGATGGAAGCCAGAGGCCGTGATAAGAGAAATGTCACTCAAGTACTCCGTCCTGTAATTTCGTGAGACATAAGCACATACTCCACCGCCAACCCTCGCCTGTCGGTCGATTCGGTAGATAACATAGCCAGGGATTTCTATCTCCAAATCCGTAACTGAACTGTTGAGCCATGTTTCGGATACGGTAAATATATCAAACTTATTTTCCAGTACCGCATTCTTTACAAGAACGAAATGCTCACGGCATTTGAGCGAGCGAACATTAAGATGTGCGATTTTAACATTGCCATTTGACTTTTCTGACTTGTCTCCACTAGAGCAGTTTGCAGGTCCAGGGTTAAGTTCCACATCATGTAGCAGTTGTATAACAGGTCTAAAGGTAGAGGTTGAGTTGGCGTAGTAGGCTGTAGTAGCGCTTGCTCGTTTCACTCTCATACTGATAGTGACATGCACGTGTGTCCGCCATTTTGTACAGTGTCTCGTATCCCAGTTTACCTCTTTAACCGACGAGGAATGCGGGAAACATAGACCAAAGTACTCGCTGGTAAAAGAATAATCTTGTTTATCTTTCCTCAAGGTATGAACAAGACACAAAATAAGTACAAGTCCAATAACTCGCGAGCTCAGAATCGCACGTCTGCCTTCCTTCATGATCGACAATGCCAACAAGTTCCACTAAGAATCTGTATCGCCACCTTGAAAGTCTCGGGATTAAAGTGCTTGTCTCGACGTTGCAGAAATCAGTACTGTTTACTACAGCTAATAACGTCCTGTGAAAGGTACCTTCTGTCTTAGGTCATTGCATGACATTATAGACAGAACAATTTATGAAAGGAGCTCTAGTACCAATATTTACTATATGAAATAGTAATAACAATAATAATAATAATAATAATAATCAGTCAAGAAGTCATGCAGGGGAGCTCAACAAATGATCTGAAAGTGTAAGGAAGTCACTATTGTGCCTGTGATTATTTGCGCCTTGGAATAGTGTCAACCAGCCTGAGGAGACAGAGGAAATGGTCACAGGGGATTGACGTAACCAAGAAACTAGAGCTGCTACAGAAAGAATGCCTCTTGGTAACAGCAAGGGTCCATAGAAGAGTATTAGACATGGGATAACTCACACCAATGTTAAGTAGAGGGAACACAGGCAACTAAGGACCACTAAGCCACGGGCGTGGTCAGCTGCCAAAGAGAACTTTCAGTTTTAATGACTGTGAAACATAATAATAATAATAATAATAATAATAGTAATAATAATAATAATAAAAAGGAAAGAAAGGGATGGTAGAAAACATCAAGAAAGTATCAGGGAGAGCTACTGTGACAGAGACTCAAAAGATCTGCATACTGGGATCTGCGCGAATCCTCAGAAAGGTGCTTGGTGTATGAACAGAAAATTGACTTGAGTGACTGATGCTGTGATAGAAGAGACAATAACAATAATAATAATATTAATATTAATAACAATAATAGTTCTTCAATCTTATGTTTTTAGGAGATCCTGGGCTACGAAAATCTTTTAACAGGGCTAATCTACGAAGAGGAAACCTTTCAAATTTATTACCTACTCTAGACTTGAGTTCTGTGATGAAAGAGGTAAACCACAAAGCCAGCGTAGCGGTGGGATATGCCGCCTGACCAACAAGAGACTTCTTTTCTTGTCTCAGTTTGGTGAAGCTAGTAAGTGTAACTTAGTTTAAAGACACTTGAGAGAAAAATTGAACCAAATACAACGACAATTATGCCACAGGAACTAACTTAACCTCCTATTCTATTAGTGGGACTTAAAGTTGAAAACTTCGAAGGTGAACTAGTTCGTGAAAATTTGATTTGATTTTATCTAATGATCTGAGAAAGTAAGCCAAAGCAGTAAGCCTTTCGCTAATTCACGGTGGCCAATTAACGTTTTCAATTCAGTTGCTATTTAGGAAAGAAAGAAATTATACTCCGAAGGGGGTAAGGGGATCAAAAGTAATTTAGCAAGTAAAATGTTCGACCGAGTTACTTAATTAGCTTTGACTCTTAACAGATGACTTTACACAGTCTATTTCGCTCATTGTTTATGTACATTTTTACAACTGCGCAAGTCATTTCGCCCATTCTTTGTGCACATTTTTAAAGCTGCGCAAGTAATTCATGTTGCAAGGTTGTTATATCAGTCACCACCCATTAAGCACGCACGGTCAAACGGGTGAGAAAGAATTAAGCAGCAAAGCACACTAACTGCGCATGCTCCCCATTTGTCTGCATTTTACTCTCTTAAATCTTTTGTGAACTTTTATTTCTAATACCCGACTGATAAGTTTGGCAAAAAAGAAGGAAATATAAAACAAGTATGCAAAGTTTTCTCACTTTTTTTCTTCTGTTCAGTGCGGCATCGAATTCTGCATGGGCCAAGAGATATAAAGATGGTGTTTTATCGAGTAAGGTAGTTGACGAATGTTAGTTCTAATAAAGGTCTTTAGTCAGTCTTTTTTTTTTGAAAAGTATTTAGGGCATCTAAGACACATGTTAACAAATCAACGAGAATGTAAATACAAATTTCAGGTGCGTCCTTGGTCCCGTGGGGCGACCCTAATAAGCTTCCAGGAGGGTACTCTCTAAAAGCATCCTATAATGACATCACCTTCTACATGCCTATTCCACTGCGGTGTCTGCGCAGTGTAGAGATGTTTGGAAAATCAGGTTTTCAAGGGGAAGTAAAAGTCCATGGTGAAGCTCCGTGCTGCTTTGGCTGGTGTGGATTATTTGGGGTAAGACAAAATACTAAATATCCAGTAACGTTTTTTAGGATGTTGGGATCAGTCAAAATTAAGACAATTGATGTGACAATAAACGAGAATTTCTTAAGAAAATCTTAGCCATAAACTAAAACCTTAGCCAGAAACTAACTTGGAAAAAGGAGGAAAGCCAACTTATTAGCAAACGAACGTACGAGAAAGCAGAATACTCTGTAGGCCTTAGCATATGTTTCTTTCAGATGATCACAGATGGGAAGAGGGCTGGTATAAGTTCAGAGTGATTTCGCTAGTCATTGGAATTTGCAATATTCGTTTTTGACGAGGGTAAACATTCGCCGTAGAAATTAGGCTATCGATTGCAGTTGTGCTGTTTGAATACTCTGATGTAGCTGCTAACAAATACTTAGAGTAAGTACGTCGCAGTGCCATGAATTTGAAGGTCACATTGTTTCAAATTTGCAGGTAGATTGCTGCCCTAATTCCAGAATTCTAAAGCAATGGAGGCCAGAACAGCCAAAGATCCCCAGCCATTACAGAGAAATGCGGGTCACTATCGGCGTTTTAATGCCACCTTGGGAACGCAAAATGTTTGTCCATATTCACATTGATCCAACTGTTCCTTTGCCTGTTGCCAGAGATTTTGTCGCCTTGTTGCAAAAGAATTTTCCTGAATCGAATTAGAAGGGAACGATAACTAAATTCTTTTATTATTCATTCAAAATATTTCCCCAATTCTGATTGGCTAAAAGCACACGCATGATTCACCATAACCAGTTACTGATGACCAAATTTGGAAGAATTTTCTGTTTAACGAGGAAATGACGTCAAAAATGCAGCCTTCTACAAGTTAATGCACCGTTAACCTAGAAGACCTGGGGACGAGGTTGAGTTGTGTTTGTTGTGAAAACTAAAATGGCGGACACTCCACTCCAAGAGCAAGAACTACAACTAGAACATGGCGAAATAATAGCTAAAAACATAGCAAAAACAGCAAGAAGACAACTCGGAGGGCGACATCTGCTATTTGGAGAATATTTGTGGAGCTGGACAAACCTAAGCGTACACTATCGAAGATGAACTTAACATCGATGCGGGTAACCATGTTTTAGCTATGTTTTTAAATTAGGAATTATTTTGAATGAATAATAAAGCAATTAATGAATTCGGCTTTCTAAGGATATGAAGAATTAAGCAGATCTCGGAGGGTTTTTTCCACCTCGGCCTTCGGCCTCTGTGGATAACACCCTCCTCGATCTGCTTAATTCTTTATATCCTACTCAGCCTCATTCATTAATTGTTAAATAATTATAACATTCAAAGAGAATATGCAGTCATTTATTTTTTTTTTCTATTTGATATTTACCTGTTTTATACCTAGTGACTTAAAAATCCATGAGGAAATGTCCATTTGCCTCTTTTTTTTTTAATGTAAGAGGGTGAAACACAGAAAATTAGCCTGGCTTTCATTTTAGTGGAAAATGGCCTCTGCTTTTAGGAATGTACGCATCCAATCTTTCATCTGTTGCTCTCAACGCTGATCAGTTGAATGTTCTCAAATATGGGCTTACGCACTCGATTTGCCCGCCCTCGATCAACAAAACGGACATCTTCGCATGCTTTGAATTGATTAGCCAAAGGATGTTAAAGAACCTCAAGGAGAGCAAGGACACGGGCAAACTGGCTACGGAACTGTCACATTTGGCTCACACGTACGTGTCATCATATCGACCCACGGCCTCGGATTTGAAAAAGCACAGGATTCTAAAAGAACTAAGAAAGAACAAGAACATTGTAATATTGAAACCGGATAAGGGTAATGGGGTAGTAATTTTAGATAGAGTAGAATATGACAAGGGTTTATTTAAAATCATTAACGACACTACTAAATTTAGGGTCCTTACATCCGACCCTACTCTTACCCGGGAAGGGAAACTACAGCGATATCTCAGGGAACTTAAGAAAAAAGGTCACTTTGATCCTGACGTCTATGAGACCATTTATCCAAGTGGATCTCAGCCTGCCAGGATATATGGTCTCCCTAAGATGCACAAACCACGAGCGCCAAATTCCACCCCTCCATTTCGGCCCATAGTTTCCTCCATAGGCACCTACAACTACAGCTTGGCTAAATACTTAAGTAATCTCCTCCAACCTCATATTCCGTCCACATTCATTGCTTCAGATTCCTTCACTTTTGTGAAGGAAATCAATGATCTATCTTTGCACGGGATGTTTATGGTCTCCTTCGATGTTGAAAGCCTCTTCACCAACATCCCTCTAGATGATTGTATCGACCTTGCCGTCAAATATATTACTGAGGGTAATCCAGGGTTGAAACTTAGTAAAAATGAGCTCAAAAGGCTGTTTGAGTTTGCTACCAAGGAAACTCACTTCCTGTTCAAAGGTAACTTCTATGATCAGGTGGATGGTGTAGCCATGGGGTCCCCCCTTGCCCCTGTTCTCGCCAATCTCTTTATGGGTCACCATGAGAATATATGGTTGGATCAATACGGGGATTCAGAGGTATTATTCTATCGTCGCTACGTAGACGATACATTTTGCCTTTTCCACTCTGAACGGGATGCAACCCTTTTCTTCAATTACATCAACAATCAACACCCCAATATACGCTTTACAATGGAGCGGGAAACTGACCATGTTCTACCTTTCCTAGATGTTCTAATCAACAACACTGACCCACACCAAAGTGCAACCACCGTTTACCGGAAAAAGACTTTCACAGGTCTGCTCACTAGTTATCTGAGTTTTTGCCCCTTTACCTACAAATTGGGGTTAATCAAAACCTTGATTCATAGAACTTTTAAGATAAACAACACTTGGATGGGGTTCCATACTGACCTTCAAAAATTGTCTGTCATTCTGCGGAGGAATCTCTTCCCTGAAAACCTTATCAACAAATATATTTCTAAATATATTCAGACAGCAGTCAAGGGAGGGAAAACACAGCCCTATTCAGGAGTCGAGCCCCAGGAAACGCCTAAGTTCTTCTTCAAAATCCCTTACGTTGGGCACTTCTCAGTCACGGCACAGAGGAGTATACGCAAACTTGCTAACCGGTTATGTAAACCTATTGATTTAAGGTTAGTCTTTACTACTTTCAAAGTCAGGAATCTTTTTAATGTGAAAGATGCTGTCCCTGAGGGGCTACGCACGCGTGTGGTCTATAAATTTTCGTGTGCAAGTTGTAATGCTTGTTATGTTGGTGAAACCAGCCGACACTTCTCCACACGAGTGCGCGAGCACTTACTTTCAGACAGGTCTTCGAACGTTTTTAAACATCTGCAGGGTTCAGAGTTTTGTAGAGCATCCTGCACACCGGATTGCTTCGAGATCCTGGACTCTGCAGCCACTAAGTACCAAGTGAAGCTTAAGGAATCCATGTTTATAAAATGGGAGAAGCCCGATCTCAACCAGCAGGTGAAACACATTAACCTGACTCTCTCCCTGTAAAGAACTAAGCGTCACTCATTTAACTTTGTTTTAGTACGCAATATTGACAACGCAATGTAACGAACTTTGTAAGATCGCGCGCCCTTTAAATTCAACGGCGATTTCAAAATATGTAACACTGAAGATGACGGATGTACCGTCGAAACATGTCTGGAAAATTAAAGAAAGTTGTTATGTTTATACGACAATGTACGCATACTACTTTTAAGTGGAAAACCCCCGAACCGGATTGTAAAGATAATCAGCATCTCGCAACCCTCCAATGACCCCTAAACATATTCGAATATTTGTAGAAAGGCCCGCCCATATTATAGTGTTTCATCACATTCACTGATTTAGTGTGCAGTCTTAATGTAATAGCTGTTCCAAGACTATAAGAAAGGGATACGCGGGGATATGCCATTCGTAATATAAATATTAGATTAAGGCGCTATATTATTTCAAATGGTATTGAACTTATTGTGCTGTTGCACAGCTGTTAAAAAAGAACATGTCTCAACATAACATTGCAAAAATAGAACTTTCATCTACGTATACTTGAATATTGAGAGAGATCTGGTCAAGCTCGTTATTAGATTATGCAAAGTGGTATCACATTGAGTAATTTTGTGTTGCAGGAAATTGCCCGTTCGAAGTAGCAAATTCCTTGGTGTAAATGTTGCACTGGTTAAAAAGCACTCATTGATTTAATTATAAACGCATTCAAATTTGGAAGAAGTCATTTCCCTTTCCCTCTGTACGTGGTATGATGATGTTAAGCTAGACCCCGGGGGTGGTACTGCCATATATGGGCTTTATAGGTATGTGCCGCTGTGAAGGGTATGGTTTTCAAGCAGTTTACTGTAGGATAGGGTATATAAATCAGAGCGTTTGGGTCTAGAATAGGGTATCATTTTTCAGGAAACTGATCAGTTGGTTGACGATTTTATCTAGACTAGGGAAACAGCTACTCTAGGATAGGGGGGACTTGAGGAGTTTATCCTAGTATAGGGTAGCAAAATTCAGCTGAACTAGCTCTGGTATAGGTTAAGGGTTCCAGGGTCCCAGCGGCACATCCCCACCCAGAAATTCCTAAAGTACCCCCCCCCCCGGGAGCTAGACTTCTTTTTCTCAGAAACCAGCTTTGAGCTTAAATCTATTGTCCAGATGGGGATCAATTTCTGAGGATGTATCAACAAGAGTAAGAAAACACTTCACCATTTTTCCACGAAATGAAGACTCAATTGTCATGTTAATGAGTTCCGAGAAAAAGGGAACAGCATCGAAAAGTTGACCAACTATGAGCAACTACGCTCTGAGCTTCAAAAATCCAATCGCGGACCTTACAAGTCAGGAAGTCGACAGAGTCTCTATCCCACTTCGAGAAATGAATTCTTCTGGTAAGAATCTTTATTCCAGCTTGCAACTGGTGAATTTTCAGCTTTCATTCAGCGATGCTTCAATGTTTTCATAAATGCCACATTGGTACTACACTACTGATTTTCTGAGGGGCATGCATGTAGCCCAGATATCAAACACATATTTTTCACCCGGTGTTTCATTTTTAGCCCGTGCGAACAACGACAACAGAAAAAACGCTCCTAAAGCGGCTATTTTATTGTTGTCGATATACATGAAATAGGAATCATCCAGTAATGTTATTAAACACACGGAGCTTCCATGCGATTTTAAACCAACATAAACATAATATTATATTAAAGTGCTAAATTTTTCACTGGTGTTCAAGCGGGACAACAGAGAGAAAATAGGAGCCGCTTTAAACTGGCCAATATCAACGTCTTAATTAAGGTGGAATCGATGATAAAACCATCAGAGGAGAACAATGACCTAATAATGATAAACAAGAATAGAATATTAAATATAGGACATGTGCTTTCTCACTCTGTGATGAAGGGCAAATAAACTGCTAAATATCTCTATCCAGTATCTTTCTGTTTTTCATCCGTTGCTGGAAAATGAAGAGAACAAAGGAAGAAAAAAGGAAATTTCTAAAGACCGAAATAACATCAAGTACTCTGTGTTCATTATCAAAGTCTATCGTGGGAAAATAAATTATACATGTCATATCGCGTCGTCTCTTTTGCAAAACTTTGAATATCAATTGAGATTATATGTACGAATGCATCAACGACCACAGTAGTGGTAATTTTTGCAATATAAATCGTATTTTCAAATTGTTTTTAATAGAAAAAAATGCTGGACAAAGTGGT